ATATATATATATATATATATATATATATATATATATATTGTATGTGTTTGTTTTGTTTTAGAGGATGAGCAGAAAATGACCGAACAATAAGTTTGCACAACTTACAACTTTAATAAGCCAGTTGTCACAAACTACAAACAACTCTGAACTCTTTTCTAGAAAGACTAAACCACATGTTGGGGTTGAAACTAGAATATGATGCTTGCATCATATTCTAGTTTTTTTTCATATTCTATGATTTTTTACAGCCCCCTGTTCTCAATAAAAGCAGAGGTGGGTGCAAATGAACAATTTTCATCTTCTAGACCAAGGTTTGTACAGAGAACATATTGAAAAATATGAAGAACAAAATACAGATTTCCATTTATTAATGACACTTCTGCATTCATCTTATTTGGAGGAACTAGAACCACAAACACGACCTACATTTACTCAAACGCAAACCATGTAACCCAAATAAGAAAACAATACTCAACCCTGAAAAGTTAGAAACTTTGAGCCTGTCTCATAATGCAGACATGCAAAATCTTTGTTTTGTATCTACAATCATTTAAATTTTTACTTTAATTTAGCAGATAAACTTTAAAAAAAGACCACGTTTGTTTTCAAATTATTTTACAGCCCCAAAGTTCTTTCAGTCAGCCTGTCAGTTTAGGCATTTTGTTTGTCGACTCTTTGTCGCGATGCTCTTTTTCTTTTCTCTTCCTTCTTTTCTGCACTCCGCTGTCATATTTTCTGTTGTCCGCCATTGTAAAATAATATTCCCTGACGCTCCTCCCCAATGTGTAAGATGCGTCAAAAGTGGACCAATAACAAGCAATCATTCAAGATGGACGTTTGCCAGAACAAATTGGAACATTTTTCATCGGTGCTGTCAAAATCATCATAGTCATTGATTAAATTCTGACACTGTCCATTCACAAAAACATAAAACATCCTTCGGGGCCCTCGAAATGCCGGTGCCCCAGGCTGCAGCCCCTGTAAGCCCCTGCTAAAATCCGGCCCAGGCTGCTGGTGTTGGTCCACTGTGTTTTATCAAGCACAGGGTCAATGCAGCTGGCTATCAGGAGATTTTGGAGCACTTCATGCTTCCATCTGCTGAAAAGCTTTATGGAGATGAAGATTTCATTTTTCAGCACGACCTGGCACCTGCTCACAGTGCCAAAACCACTGGTAAATGGTTTACTGACCATGGTATTACTGTGCTCAATTGGCCTGCCAACTCTCCTGACCTGAACCCCATAGAGAACCTGTGGGATATTGTGAAGAGAAAGTTGAGAGACGCAAGCCCCAACACTCTGGATGAGCTTAAGGCCGCTATTGAAGCATCCTGGGCCTCCAGAACACCTCAGCAGTGCCACAGGCTGATTGCCTCCATGCCACGCCGCATTGAAGCAGTCATTCATGCAAAAGGATTCCCGACCAAGTATTGAGTGCATAACTGAACATGATTAATTGAAGGTTGGCGTTTTTTGTATTAAAAACACTTGTCTTTCATTGGTGGGATGAAATATGCTAATTTTTTGGGACAGGCATTTTGGGTTTTCATGAGCTGTATGCCATAATCATCAGTATTAAAACAATTAAAGACCTGAAATATTTCAGTTGGTGTGCAATGAATCGGAAATATATGAAAGTTTCATTTTTATCATTACATTATGGAAAATAATGACCTTTATCACAATATGCTATTTTTTTTAGAAGGACCTGTATCCCTACAGCTACAAGCAGTGATGACCTAACCCTCCTGCTGCTCTTGGGTCAGAACGACCCATAAGTCCTCAGTTTTAAGCTGGAGGCTTCGTGGGTCATTTTGACCCAAGGGCAGCAGGAGAGTTAATGAGATTATTTATAAATAAAATGATTTCAATTGTGAAGAAAATTTAAACGATCCCTTGTTTGTCTCTGTGGCCTTGTGATGGACTTATGACCTGTCCAGTGTGTACCCCGCCCCTCACACAGTGATTGCTAGACATGGGCACCGGCGACCCCCGTGACCCAAAATGGAAGAAGCTGGATGGATGAATTTAAACGATCCTTCTATTGCCTCCAATTCCTCGTCAGATGAGGCAAATTTAGAAATGTCACTATAGAACCAGATTTATGTTTGGATTGTGTATGTTCTGTTGAGCTATCTGAATTGTCAGAATCAATATCTTAATCCAAACCGTGCTAGATCTCATCCCAACCAGACTATTTAAAGAGGTATTTCCCCTAATTAATATCCATATTTTGGATCTGCTTAATAATGGTTTCGTACCACAGAGCTTTAAGGTTGCTGTAATTAAACCCTTACTTAAGAAATCTAATCTTGATTCAGGAATTCTGGCATAGTATAGACCTACAGTATATCTAATCTAACATTCATCTAAAAAAATCTAGAGAACATAGTTGCAGGATAATTATTATAATAATAGAATAATCTGTTTGAAAAGTTTCAATCTGGGTTTAGAGCTCATCATAGCACAGAAACAGCACTGGTGAAAGTTATAAATGATATTCTCATGGCCTCAGGCAATGGACAGGTGTCCACTGGTCCTGTTAGATCTCAGTGCTGTATTTGACACAGTTGATTATATATATATATATATATATATATATATATATATATTACTACAGGGGCTTGAATATGATATTGGATTACAGGAAAAGCTCTAAAAATGGTTTTCATACTATTTTATAGATTCCAGTTTGTAAATGTAAATGATGAATTTTCTTAATCTACCAAAGTTGCTCATGGAGTTCCTCAGGGTTCAGTACTTGGACCAATAATCTTTACTTTATGTATGCTTCCATTAGGTAAAGTTATTAAACAGCATGGGATAAAGTTACATTGTTATGCTGAATCCAATCCATTACTTAGATTAAAATCATGTCTTAAAGACATAATGACCCATGATTTTCTGCTTTAAAACTCAGTCAAGACAGATGTTGTGGTTTTTGGACCTGATAATCCATCCATCCATCCATTATCTTTACCCGCTTATTCCATTTTGGGTCACGGGGGTCACTGGTGCCCATGTCCAGCAATCACTGTGCGAGGGGCGGAGTACACCCTGGACGGGTCGCAAGTCCATCACAGGGCCACATAGAGACAAACGAGACAAACAACCATTCACTCTCCCACTCACACCTAGGGACAATTTAGAGTTACCAATCAGCCTAACATGCATGTTTTTGGTCTGTGGGAGGAAACCGGAGTACCCGGAGAAAACCCACGCATGCACGGAGAGAACATGCAAACTCCACCCAGAAGGTCCCTGGACCGGGGTTTGAACCAAGGATCTGCTTGCTGAGAGACAGCAGCTCTACCAGTTGCACCACCATGCTGCCCTGACCTGATAATCTTAGGAACAAATTTTGCAGACTTTCACTTTATTTTTGGACTCCAGTTCAAAAGTTAAAAACCTTGGCATTATTTTTGATCAGGATAAGTCTTTTAACACCCACATTAAAAACGTTACCAGAACTGCTTTCTTCCACCTATAATTTTGCTAAAATTCAAAACATCTTGTCTTAAAATGATGCAGAGAAACTGGTCCATGCGTTTATCACCTCTGGACTATTTCAATGGTTTGTTATCTGGGTGTCCAAAAACATATTTAAAAAGCCTTCAATTAATCCAAAATGCTGCTGCCAGAGTCTTTACTGGAGTTAGTAGGAGAGATCATGTCTCTCCAGTTTTAGTTTCTCTCCAATGGCTTCCTCTCAAATTCAGAATAGAATTCAAAATCTTACTTCTAGCATACAATGCTCTCAATAACTTAATTCCATCTTATATTAGAAATCTTATTGTTCCATATTTTCCTAGCAGACCACTTCCTTCTCAGACTGCAGGTTTACATGTAACCACATGAGTTTAACCACCTAGAGTTTCCAAAAGCAGAATGGGAGGAAGATCTTTCAGTTATCAGGCTCCTCTCTTGTGGAACCAACTTCCGGTTTCTGTCCGTAAGGCTGACACATTGTCTACTTTTACAACTAGGCTCAAGTCTTTCCTTTTTGATAAATGCAAATATAGGCTTAGACTACTGGAGGACAAATTGACCTAATCAAATGAATAGTTACAAATTAATACAAATTAATAGTTTGTATTTGTAATTATTTCTATCTTATGTTTTGTTTTTTTGTCTTTTCTCCTAGTGAGTACCTGCTCACCTGCTCGCCTCCATTCTGGACCTGTCATTTTCTGTCTGTTTCTCTTTCCTGTACTCTCAAACCCAGCTGGCCGAAGCAGATGGCTGCTTGTCCTGAGCCTGGTTCTGCTGGAGGTTTCTTCTTGTTATGAGAGAGTTTTTCCTTTCCACTGTTGCCTTTGTGCTAGCTCAGGATGGGAGACTGCGACAAAATGAAGACTCAATGCAATCTGCTGTTTCCTTCCTTAGATAAATCCTTCCTTCTAATAGTAA